GGAGACGTGGTGAGGTGGAATAACACGCGGACCAGGAGGGGGTGAGAGAGGGTGGTGTCTAGTTTTAGATGGGAGATGTAAACAAGAGACATAAATGCGCATGAGATAAATAAAACAGAGACACGTGGAGATGCAGCAAAGCGACATTGGAGACCGACAAGACGTATGTACGTCATCCACCTCGCCAAGTTGCATTTTAGAACTACGATCAGTATCATTGGCGAGTGATATCCGAACAAGCGCCCCCCACCGCGTTTGCCCCCCCCCCCCCATTTCCACCAAGCCGCATTTGACCCGCGTGGTGAAGTATGGCCAAACGACAACCTCGACAACGGACACGGCGCTTTCGCGAAGGCCTCCGAGAGGGGTGAGAGACGCAAAGCAGAACGAAAGTTGAATGTAAAAAGTGCGCGTGCGTGAGCGCGTGCGTGTGTGTCTCTCCTTTAGGTCGACTCGGCCTCAAACGAGTTTTACCTGTTGCGTCGTGCGAACAACGCAACAGCAGGGAGGGGGTTGGACACACACACACAGACAAAAGGTTCCAGGGCGTACGCGCTAACCTGGCCACACAATGACAACGATCCCCCGCGTAGCCTCTAACAGACTGTTGGGGCAAGTGCTCTTAGCGGGAAACTATTAGGAGGGTGGGTGGCCTACACCACGCCCGGCCGCCTTTGTCTCCCTGGCCGCAGACACGCACACACACACACACAAACCACGGAGCCACACACGAGGGCAATAGGAACTCGCTCAGAATCCTGACTCGCTCCGCGGTGCCCTACGGTTCTCTGATACACAGAGTGAACGATGTGTGTGTCTATGTACACACGCGTGTCTATATAACAGTACGATACGACCAAAACTCAGACGAACAGAGCACAGCGACACACAACGCGTCAATGATGATGACGGTGAAATGTTTCATATTCCGAACGCTGGACTTAAATTGGACGTTCCGTTCCCGATCCTCGCTCTGATTTCACAACCTTTATTTGCGCGAGGCACAATATACATATGTATGCTGTGTTGCATAACGCATGTATATGCAGCAATGCACGTACGTGTGTGTGTGTATATTTAGGTGTGTACGTGTGTGTGTGTGTGTGTTATTGCGCTGCGCTACGAACCCGGCTACGCGAGTTCCATTCCCGCTCGCGGCCAATAACAGCGACGCGATGTTTCAAACCTGTTCTGGTTGGTGGTAGGGGGGGTAATAATCAGCATCGGCGAGACAAAGGCGGCCGGGCGTGGTGTTTGGACACCCGCATCCCCAACAGTCTACAATGGGATCCTGGGCGGTTGAGGGGGGGGAGCATCTTTGTCGTTGCGCGAAGCAAAATTTGGCGGCCCTCCTCGGTGCGTGATGTCTCTTAGGATCGACTCTTGGGAGATCTCCTTTAAGCCAGGGGTCCCCAACCCCCGGGCCGCGGACCGGTACCGGGCCGCACGGCAGCAGCAGGAGGTGAGAGCGGTGAGTCCGCACGTGGCCATTATTTTATTATTTACCACTTCGGTCCGCGCCTCTTCCCCGCACTGCGCACTCGTCCCAGTCACAGTGTTGGTAAGCCCACAAGCTGACCCTTAGTAGCCACAACGAGTAAGCCCACAAGCTCTAACCCCTAGTAGCCGCAATGAGTAAGCCCACAAGCTAACCCCTAGTAGCCACAACGAGTAAGCCCACAAGCTCTAACCCCTAGTAGCCACAATGAGTAAGCCCACAAGCTCTAACCCCTAGCAGCCACAATGAGTAAGCCCCCAAGCTCTAACCCCTGGTAGCCACAAGGAGTAAGCCCACAAGCTCTAACCCCTAGTAGCCACAATGAGTAAGTCCACAAGCTGACCCCTAGTAGCCACAATGAGTAAGCCCACAAGCTCTAACCCCTAGTAGCCACAATGAGTAAGCCCACAAGCTCTAACCCCTAGTAATCACAGTGAGTAAGCCCACAAGCTCTAACCTCTAGTAGCCACAATGAGTAAGCCCACAAGCTCTAACCCCTAGTAACCACAATGAGTAAGCCCACAAGCTCTAACCCCTAGTAGCCACAAGGAGTAAGCCCACAAGCTAACCCCTAGTAGTCACAATGAGTAAGCCCACAAGCTAACCCCTAGTAGCCACAATGAGTAAGTCCACAAGCTGACCCCTAGTAGCCACAATGAGTAAGCCCACAAGCTCTAACCCCTAGTAGCCACAATGAGTAAGCCCACAAGCTCTAACCCCTAGTAGCCACAATGAGTAAACCCACAAGCTAACCCCTAGTAGCCACAATGAGTAAGCCCACAAGCTGACCCCTAGTAGCCACAATGAGTAAGCCCACAAGCTCTAACCCCTAGTAGCCACAATGAGTAAGCCCACAAGCTCTAACCCCTAGTAGCCACAATGAGTAAGCCCACAAGCTCTAACCCCTAGTAGCCACAATGAGTAAGCCCACAAACTCTAACCCCTAGTAGCCACAATGAGTAAGCCCACAAGCTCTAACCCCTAGTAGCCACAATGAGTAAGCCCACAAGCTCTAACCCCTAGTAGCCACAATGAGTAAACCCACAAGCTCTAACTCCTAGTAGCCACAATGAGTAAACCCACAAGCTCTAACCCCTAGTAGCCACAATGAGTAAACCCACAAGCTCTAACCCCTAGTAGCCACAATGAGTAAGCCCACAAACTCTAACCCCTAGTAGCCACAATGAGTAAACCCACAAGCTAACCCCTAGTAGCCACAATGAGTAAACCCATAAGGTCTAACTCCTAGTAGCCACAGTGAGTAAAAAACAAACGTCGCTGGAGAGCTTCTATGAAAAGTGGGAAAGACCCAATGACGAACCCGCCCCGGTCCGTGAAGACAGTTGTCTTCCACGAAACCGGTCGCTGGTGCCAAAAAGGTTGGGGACCGCTGACTTCAGCGATGACTCGAAACAAATGGAGTTGACGATGTGCGTTTTTTGTGTGTTTGTTCCCATGTGGGATGCCTGCCGTCGGATACACATATATACATATATCTATGTACGTACATAAGAAATAGAACGGAAGTGTAAATACCAATTATAATTTTATTTTTAAATGTTCACGGCAGAGTTGATGTGTTCGGCTTGTGTCAACGAATGCGCGGTTGCTAATTTGCCGCAGCGTTCGCCGAAATCTTAAATGAGCGCGTGTGAAGGATTACGGCGGCGATCCTGTTGTACTCGCGGGGTACCTCCAAGTGGACAAACAGTTCCCAGGGGTTGCAGTAGATCCCACGTGAGCACAGATACGGGGGTAGATGGATCAGGCAGATATCACACAGACTCACACTCGCGCAGAAGACGAAGATTCCCTCGTCGTATCGACTGAACGGGCTGTATGAGCAAGTGGTCACGGGTGGGTGGGGGTGGACAGCGCCACGCCCGGCCGCCTTTGTGTCCCCCAGTGGCGATGTTTACTACACACCGCACCACGTTACTCATTTGAGGCTGAGTAGACCTAGGGGAGGAGGCCCAGGACCGGTTCATATAAATCGTCACCGGTGTTGGCCGTGAGCGGGAATCGAACTCGGGTTCGCCGGGTTCGTAATGGCAGCGCGCTAACCGTGACACGACCGCTCCCCATACAGAGACACACACACTGAGACACAGACACACACAGAGACATATACTGAGACACAGACACACACACAGACACACACACAGAGACACACACACACTGAGACACACACAGACACACAGAGACACAGACACACACATACACACACACAGACACACACAGACACACAGAGACACACACACTGAGACACAGACACACACATACATACAGAGACACACACACTGAGGCACAGACACACACACAGAGACACACACAGACACAGAGACACACAGAGACACATACACTGACACACAGACAAACACACAGATACACACACAGAGACACATACAAGCGGAGGATAACGCAGATACATAAGCGATACACAAAGGTTGCACGCGAGTTGATACTTGAGTAGACACAAGTTGATACTTGAGTACACACACGGTGACGCACACACACAGAAGCTCACACGGACACGCTAATCGCGCCTATGGACAGTGCTCATGCGCTCACACTCAAGAGCCTACACACAGACAAAGATCCCCCGTATAGCCTGTAACAGACTGTAGGGGCAGGTGCTGTTAGCGAGCACCTATGAAGGCCAGAACGACACACGAGGGGGTGGGTGGCCAGCACCACGCCAAGCCGCCTTTATATCCCCAAGTGGCGATGTTTTTTTACGCACCGCACCAGGTACTCATTTGAGGCTGAGTCGACCTAGGGGACGCCCAGGACCGATTCAGATAATCGTCACCAGTGTCACGCACACACACTGAGAGTCGCACATCACTCGCGCTCATATAAGGGCGGCCGTCTCTCACTCACCGACTCACTCGTCGACTCGCTCGAAGACTTCACTCGCGGCTCACTCAAGAGCCTCACTCACAGACTCGCTGGCTCGCAGACTCACTCACTGGGCTCACGGACTCACTCATAGACACGCTGACTCATGCGCTGACTCACTCGCTGACTCGCAGACTCACTCACTGGGCTGACGGACTCACTCATAGACACGCTGACTCATGTGCTGACTCACTCGTTGGCTCTCAGACTCATGCGCTGACTCACTCGCTGACTCGCAGACTCACTCACTGGGCTCACAGACTCACTCATAGACTCGCAGACTCATGCGCTGACTCACTCGCCGGCTCGCAGACTCACTCGCTGGGCTCACAGACTCACTCATTCACGACTCACTCGCTGACTCGCAGACTGACTCGCTGGGCTCACGGACTCATTCATTCACGACTCACTCGCTGACTCGCAGACTCACTCGCTGGGCTCACGGACTCACTCATTCACGACTCACTCGCTGACTCGCAGACTCGCTGACTCACTCGCTGGGCTCACGGACTCACTCATTCACGACTCATAGACTCGCAGACTCGCGCGCTGACTCTCTCGCCGACTCACAGACTCACTTCAACCGGGCTCACGGACTCACCGACTCACTCACTCGCCGCACACTCACCCCCTGCAAGGAAGCTGCCATCACAAACTCCTCCCGCCGTTGCAGCAGGGCAGGCAGGCAGGGCGGGCAGCAGCAGCAGCAGCAAAGCAGCGAGCAGCTGATCGCCTCTTCGCTTCACGGAGCCCGCGACTTCTTCATCTGAGAGCTCCGCGCACAAAGACCAAGTGGGACACTTCCGTACCTCCCCGGGCCATCAAGTAGCGAGGACCCCTCCCCCTCCATCTCCCCCCCCCCCGCCGCTTGCCCCCCCCTCCACCCTCCCCCATCGTCGCGCGCGCCCCCCCACTCATCCACTTTGAAGTGCCGCCTCGAGGCGAGTCGGCCAATGGGGTGAGTGCGAGGGCGAGAGAGGGAAGGAGAGGAGGGAGGGGAGGGAGAGGGGGAAGGAGATGGAGAGTGAAGGAGAGAGAGGGAAGGAGAGAGAGTGAGGGGAGGGAGAGAGGGAAGGAGAGAGGGGGAAGGAGATGGAGAGTGAAGGAGAGAGAGCGAAGGGGAGAGAGGGAGCGAGAGAGTCGCGGAAGGGGGTGGTTGGTTGTAAGATTCGCGTTCAATTGGCGAGAGATGAGCGATGCGAGGGAATGAGGAGAGTGAGTTGAGCGAGGGTGTGAGCACGTGCTAGAGTGAGCGGGTGAGTGAGTTAGCATGCAAGAGTGTGAGTGAGTGAGTGACAGTGAGAGAGGTTGTGTGAACGGCACGTGCCCCAACAGTCTGTTTAGGCTATACGGGGGGGAGGGAGTCTTAGTGAGCACGTGTGATAGTGTGTGAGTTGGTGAGTTTGTTTTTAGATTGGTGCATGATTGTGTGAGAGAGCGTGCAAAGAGTTTGAGTGAGTGCCAGAGTTAGTCGATTGGTGAGTGTCTGTATGTATGTATGAGGGTGTATGTAAGTGTAGCGGTTAGCGCGCTGCGCTACGAACCTGGCGACCCGGGTTTGATTCCCACCCAGTGACCATTATCTGACCCGGTTCTGCGCCTCCTCTAAGTCGACTCAGACTCAAATGAGTACCTGGTGCGGTGCGTAAAAACATCGCCACTTGGGAGACAAAGGCGGCCGGACGTGGTGCTGGCCTTCACAGATGATCGCTAACAGCACTTGCCCCAACAGTCTGTTCAGGCTATACGGGGGATCTTTTTGTTATTTGTTGTATGCACCTAGCCTGGCACAACGCCGTGGTGACGTCACCGCAACTTCGCGACGAACAGCGCTGGTGTTGTTAGTTGAGAATGGGAGCGTGTGAGTGTGTGAGAGTGAGAGTGTGTGAGTGTGTGTGAGAGTGAGTGAGAGTGTGTGAGAGTGTGTGTGAGTGTGTGTGAGAGTGTGTGAGTGTGAGAGTGTGTGAGTGAGAGTGTGTGAGAGTGTGAGTGTGTGAGAGTGAGTGTGTAACAGTGTGAGAGTGTGTGTGAGAGTGTGTGAGAGTGTGTGTGAGAGTGTGTGAGAGTGTGTGTGAGAGTGTGTGAGAGTGAGAGTGAGTGAGAGTGTGTGAGAGTGAGAGTGTGTGAGTGTGGGTGAGAGTGTGAGTGTGTGAGTGTGTGTGTGAGAGTGTGTGAGTGTGTGTGAGCGTGTGTGAGTGTGTATGAGAGTGAGAGTGTGTGAGAGTGTGTGAGAGTGTGTGAGTGTGTGCGAGTGTGTGAGAGTGTGTGAGTGTGTGAGAGTGGGTGATTGAGTGAGTAGATAGGTGAGCGAGTGTCAGATTCTCGAGGTGAGTGAGTAGTGAGATGCACCAGCGCGAGATTGTGGGCGTTAAAGATGAGATTAGTGAATGGGTGAGTGAGTTATGTAAGTAGGTAGATGAGTATGTGAGTGAGTAGGTGGGGAAGTGAGTAGGTCGGTGAGTGACTAGGTGAGTGAAAAGGTGGGTGAGTGAGTAGGTGAGTGAGTGAGTAGGTAGGTGAGTATGTGAGTGAGTGAGCAGGTGGGTGAGTGAGCAGGTGGTTGAGTGAGCAGGTGGGTGAGTGAGCAGGTGAGTGGGTGAGTCGGTAGGTGAATGTGCGAGCGAGCGAGTAGCTGCATCGGTGAGTGCTCTATTTTCTTGGTGCGTGAGTTCGACGGCTGAGTGAGTTGGTGAGCGCCTGTGCGAGTGGTAATCGCGTGGATTTGTCTCTGGGTCCTCCGGCTTTTCTCCTCCACATTTTTAATCATCATCACGCGTTTAGAGTATTTGGCTGCGAAAATTTCCACATCAGCAACGCTGCTCTCTCACGCCACTATGAACTGATGCTAAACTAAACTTTTTTTTATTGTATCAGCTCAGGCCCACTGTGCTATAGAGCTCGGTTTCAGAAGCGACCGAGCCACAAATCATATTTCAACTCAGTGGCTTATCGCGTGGAAATTCTACACGTGGATGGAACAAAAAGAACTGGTCGGACCCGGAGAACACGCAAACTCCAAATATACAGCAGCAGCAGCAAGCGTCAGTGTCGGGATCGAACCCACGACCTCCTGTGTACCAGGCGAGGTCGTCAACAACTCCTAGCCACCGTGATTACCGGTGAGTCAGGTGACTCCTGCAAATGAGACTCCTGTCCCTGCCCTCTCAAGAGTTCTCACCCCTGCTTTGCGCAAACACCAACCCCGACGAGTGGTTCGGCGCGCGAGTGCCACGTGCGTGTGCCACGTGCGTGTGTCACGTGCGTGTGCCACGTGCGTGTGCCACGTGCGTGTGTCACGTGCGTGTGCCACGTGCGTGTGCCACGTGCGTGTGCCACGCGCCTGTGCCACGCACCTGTGCCACGCACCTGTGCCACGTGTGTGTGTCACGTGCGTGTGTCACGTGCGTGTGCCACGTGCGTGGAGGCGACGACGTGAATAGATGAATCGATGACACGGTCAATGCATTACATTTGGAAGTGCTGTGACGAGCTGACCGCCCTGTATACTCTGATGAAGGCCCATTTCCCAAACCGTTTCACTGCAATAGTACAGCATGTAACGTCCTATCCTGTGCACACCAGCTGATTCCATCGCTCCATCTTCACAGGAGTACGATTGTGGTCATGCATCTCAAACTCTGGACTATATAGTAAACCCACAGAGATATATAGAGACGCATAGAGATACACAGGGACCCATAGAGATACGTGGAGACATATATAGAACCATGGAGACACACACAGATACAGAAACACATACAAACTCATATACAAAGAAACCCATAGCGATAGTAGAGACTCATAGATATACATAGGGACCCATAGAGATAGTAGAGACTCATAGAGATACACAGCGACCCATAGAGATACGTAGAGACATATAGAGAACCATGGAGATACACGTAGATACAGACACATGCATAATCGTACGTAAAGATACACGGAGAGATGCATAAAGATAAAGACGAGCCACAGTCGTGCGATCATGGTCTGGGAACCCAAACTGGAGCGTGCAGTAAACCCACTGCGTCAGCCCTGTACGTCTTCGACGGGGGAGAAGAAGCAGCAAAACAACACGGACTTTCTCTCTCTGTTGAAGCCCTCTCGTCGTGGCCAGCAGCAGACCTCCGCATTGGCGTCTGTAGCTCCTGAACGACACTGCCAAACTCTATAATGGGAATGGTATAGGGCAAAGTTAAGTTTATCGGCAATATTAGTCTATGGCCAATGCTGGTCTCTGGGTAATGTTAAGTCTATGGCCAATGCTAGTCTCAGAGGAGCAGAAGGAGGAGCAGCGAAACGACGCGAACTCTCTCTGCTGAAGCCCTCTCGTCGTGGCCAGCAGCAGCAACAGCACACTTTGACGTTGCCATCGAGCTCCTGAACATATTGCTGCTGGAATCATCGTGCGCGTGGGCAGGATGGAAGCCACCGCCCCCGCTGCTGCTGAATGAAGGCCTCCCCAGGAAGCCATCGCCTATCACCATCCGGCGAGCACCTCCGAACGAAACTGATTTTATCGCTCCGTCTCCTTTGTTCGACGTCTCCTCACTGGGGCGTTGGGAGTCACGGGTGCATTGCCAAACGCGATGCCTTAGCGATGCCCCAGTGTCGGGTGCGCTGTCTTTGTGGCGTGCACGAGTGTTGGACTTCTTCCGCTGACTACGCAGCCGACCGTGCTAATCGGAGGTGCGGGGAAAGGACAGCAAAAACGAAGCACACACACAAAGTGCACTTCCAAAGAAATTAGCTTCGTCAATCCATAATAGAGGTTTGTTTTGGGTTAGATCACGTAAATATATAAATGTGTCGTTAAACCCGCCACCACCCGACACAGCCAACTAGTAAGGGTTGTCACGTAAACAGAACGTGTCAATTCGTCACTAGTACAGCACTAGTGTATAGTAGTGTATAGTGTAGTGTATAGTAGTGGATAGTGTAGTTTATAGCAGTGGATAGTGTAGTTTATAGCAGTGTATAGTGTAGTGTATGTAGCGTTTAGTGTAGTGTATAGTAGTGTATAGTGTAGTATACTACTACAGCACATTGGTGTGTTTAAGAGCCAAGCGACAACATTTACAATCTGAGTACGACGTTTCGCCAGTAATTACAACTAGCTTCATCAGGCGACAGCCAGATTTGTGGAGACGTCTTACTGTTCCTCATATAGAGGCGTAGATGTGTTGAGCACCCTTCTGCGCTTTTACGCAAAGTGGTGGGGGGTTAATGAGTCAACGTACGTTATGTATGCGCATTTGGCGAGCCCATTGATTTTGTCCTTCCTGTCTATTGTGTGTGCTAAACGACACATTTATATATTTATGCGATCTAACCCAAAACAACCTCTATTATGGATGACATTTGGTCGCGAAAGCCTACTGCGTGTTAATTCGCCAATCGAGTTGATGATGATGATGATGATGATTTTGCAAGTGCACAGCTCCCAGTGGCTTCCTAACATCGTAAGGAAGAGCGTTCCAGATGGCCGCACAAGCGCGTCGGATAGCGCGTGGCCGTCTTCGTCTCGATGGCGAGCAGCCAGCACCCCGCTGCCTCGGCAACTTTGAGCAAATGACTCCTCGCGGTGTGGGTGGTCCAAAGTGGTTTAGAGTCGCCGCATCTCGACAACAAAGACGTCAACAACAACAACAACAACGTTGATGACGACGACGACGACGTTTTCGTCAGCCACTGCTAGATGAAGGCCGCTGCTTAGCTTCAAACGTTCAAATATTTGGGAACAATCGATTCGAGAGAGCGGTGTTTGCCCAGACGTTTCCAGTACAACGCAAAAGTGAATAATGGAACCAAAATGATGGACCTTGTA